CACTGATAAGTGCCATCTTCTTGAGTGAATAATACGTGTCACGCTTCAGGATTTGTGATGTAAACGAGTTGATTGCTTTTACTCGTATTTTCGTCGTAGAACTTCAGTCTGTTGCATTCTAAACAAGGCGTGGAGCTACTGGAGCATATATGACTTTTGCAGAAATAGTCATGTCCACTCATGCTACACCAGTCGTAATGGTGTCCACTATAATCGAGAATTGTCAACTTGGAACCCAATTGGCACTCCTCAATCCGCCATTCTCAATTAACTGCTCAAATCCAGCTCCTTGAGGTTGACAGAATGTTGCGGTTGATAATACCTTCCGGTAAGCGTTTCAGGGATGTGAAACTCGAAGGAGATGGATATCTTGAGCTTGTGACGAAGCTGTGGAGCTCAGCGTAGGATTTTTCGTTTGGAATTTCTTCTGGCTAGGCTCATGATTGTCGCAGTTGTCTCATATACAGTCGAAGTCAACCTAAAGAGTTATGAAGTAAAGTGAGCTTGTGTTATTTCAGCTTACCGATTTTTCTATTTTTTGAGTTTTTGTTGTATGCTCTCGACATTGAATCATACTTCTCCGTGTTTGAGTGTCGTTACCAAGGGTGCTCTTGGAGCGTCGCGAAACGCTCTTGCTGCCTCCTTACCCCGACATTTCGCCGGTAAGGCTTCTCCTAGTGGTGGTGAATGGCAGACTATGGATGGTTGCACTGCTGTGTGCCATGTGTCTTATGCTATGATGGAAACCGCCTACATTTACCCTATTACCCCCTCGTCCCCTGCTGCTGAGCTTGCTGAGCAGTGGTCAGCGCTCGGTGTGAAGAATGTGTTCGGTGATATCCCCAAGATAACTCAGATGCAGTCTGAAGCCGGTGCTGCCGGTGCCCTCCACGGTGCCTTGGCGGCCGGTTCTTTGGCCACGACCTATACGGCCAGTCAAGGTCTCCTCCTTATGGTGCCTAATATGTACAAGATAGCTGGCGAGCTCCTCCCCTGTGTTATGCATGTGGCCGCACGTGCTGTTTCTGGTCAGGCCTTATCCATTTTTGGTGATCATCAGGATGTCATGGCCGTTCGTCAGACCGGTTTCGCTATGATTGACGCCGATACTGTCCAGGAGTGCCATGATATGGCTCTGGTATCTCACTTGGCTACTCTCAGAGCCAGAGTTCCTTTCGTCAGTTTCTTTGATGGTTTCCGTCTTTCCCATTGCATTCAGAAGGTCGACACTTTACCTTACAATCAGATGCGAAGGATGATCGATATGAAGGCACTGAATGCTCATCGTGCAAGAGCCCTCAATCCTACTCGCCCTTATGTCCGCGGTACCAACGAGAATCCCGATGTTTATTTCCAACAGTTCGAGGCTTCCAACGCTTTCTATGATAAGACTCCTCAAATTGTGAAGGAGGAGATGGACCGTGTTGGCGCTGTTACTGGTCGTCACTATGACCTCTTCCAATGGTCCGGCCCGAAGGACGCTGAGGCGGCGATTGTTATTTTGGGTTCTGGCGGTAGTGTTGTTGAGGAGTCTCTACCTTACGTCAACGCGCAAGGTAAGAAGGTTGGTGTGCTCAAGCCCCGTCTTTACCGTCCCTGGTCTGCTGAAGACTTCCTCAAGGCTTTGCCCAAGTCTGTTAAGCGCATTGCTGTCCTTGATAGGACTAAGGAGCCTGGTGCTCTCGGGGAGCCTCTCTATTTGGATGTTGCCAGTACTATTCAGGAGTCTGGCCGTTCGAACATCAAAGTGATCGGTGGCCGTTGGGGTCTCGGACAAAAGGAGTTTACACCCAAATGTGTTGCTGCTGTGGCAGACAATCTTTATGCTCAATACCCCAAGGATCACTTCTCTGTGGGGATCGAGGATGATGTGACCCACAGGTCTCTGCCTCTCAATGATGAGATCAACGTGTCTCATCCCAAGACCGTTGAGTGCCTCATCTATGGCTTTGGTTCAGACGGTACTGTTGGTGCTAACAAGAACGCTACCAAGATCATCGGTGATAATACTGACCTCTTTGTCCAAGCATACTTTGCTTATAGCTCACAGAAGTCTGGTGGCTTGACAGTTTCTCATTTGAGATTTGGTCCCGAGCCCCTCAAATCGTACTATTCCGTCAGCAAGGCCGACTACGTCGGATGTCACAATACGACTTACATAGATATGTATCGTATGACTGATCATCTCAAGCACAATGGTACCTTCTGCTTGAACTCGCCCTTCACTACGGTTGAAGAGTGGAACGAACATGTACCCGCTGGTGTTCGTAAGGCGCTCGCTGAAAAGAATGCCAAGGTTTTCAACGTCGATGCTTTCAAAGTTTCTGAGAAGTGTGGTATGGGCCGCATGATTAATGTTGTTATGCAGGCTGTCTTCTTCAAGCTCGCTAATGTGATGGACTTCAAGGAGTGCATTGCTTTGTACAAGAATACCATCAGGAAGAGCTATGGTCATCGTGGAGAAGCTGTTGTCCAAAAGAACTACGAGATGATAGATGAGGCTCTTGATGCGATCACTGAGATCAAGGTTCCTGCTGACTGGAAGAATCTTTCGGATAGTATGCTCCGCTTTGAGCAAAACTACCATGACGCTCTTGGTAACTTGGCTAAGGAGAAGAGTGCTATTAATAAACCAAGTTTCACTGAGAATATCCAGGCTCCAGTTGCTCTGCAACGCGGGGATGATATTCCCGTTAGTGCTTTTGCCAACGACGAACTTGTCGGTGGTAAGGTTCCTCTTGGAACCGCCAAGGTCGAGAAGCGTGGCGTTGCCTTGATGATCCCCATCGTTGATATGGACAAGTGCACTCAATGCAATATTTGCTCTATGTCGTGCCCTCACGCTTGCATCAGACCCTTCTTGTTGTCCCAAGCTGAGGATGATGCCAAGCCGAGTACCTTTGATAGTCGTAAAGCCAAGGGTGGTGCCGAGGTTGCCGGTCTTCACTACAGGATCCAGGTCTCGCCCTTGGATTGCACTGGTTGTGAGACCTGTGTTAACGCATGCCCCTATGATGCTTTAAGAATGGAGCATTTGGCTGATTTCGAGGATATCGAAAGCCAAACTGGGAGTATGCTGTAAGTCTCCCCGATCGATCTTCAAGGTTTGATAAAACCACCCTTAAGGGAAGTCAGTTCTACCAGCCTTTATTAGAGTTCCATGGTGCTTGTGCTGGCTGTGGTGAAACTCCCTATGTTCGCCTTCTCACTCAAATGTTCGGTGACCGCATGGTGATTGCTAATGCTACCGGTTGCTCCAGTATCTGGGGTGCTCCTTACGGTCCCACTCCTTTCACTACGAGATACGATGGGACTGGTCCCGCCTGGGCAAACAGTCTTTTCGAAGACGCTGCAGAATATGGTATGGGTATGGCTGTGACCACCTCTGTCCGTCGTAAGGCGCTCAAGGCTCGTGTACAGGAACTTCTTCTCGAAGGAAAGGATAGTCCGCTCTCGCCTGAGTTGTACACTCAGTTGAACGAGTGGGTTGAGAACTTCAGGAATCCTTCTGTGTGCGCCGCTCTTTCCAAGTCTCTCCCGCCTCTTCTCAAGGCTGAGGCCAGTAAGGATCCTGCTATTCAGGAGATTCTTGATGTGTCCGATTTGATTCCTAAGATCTCTAACTGGATCATCGGTGGTGATGGTTGGGGTTATGATATCGGTTACGGTGGACTCGATCACGTCATTGCTTCCGGCCAGGACTTGAACGTTTTGGTTTTGGATACTGAGTGCTACGCTAACACTGGTGGTCAGAAGTCCAAGGCTACTCCCATCGGTGCTGTTGCCAAGTTCGCGACCAAGGGTCACGAAGTCGAGAAGAAGAATTTGGCTGAAATGGCTATGGATTATGGTACTGTGTACGTTGCCAGTGTTTCAATGGGTGCCAATTACGATCAGACTTTGAAGGCTTTCTCCGAGGCCGAGGATTATGATGGT